CTACTAGATATTTCCTGGAATAAAATAGAACTGCTAAATTCCTTTGCTTGCAGATACAGCACTAATTTTATTTCCATTTCACACTTTTAGCAGATGTGCTTCATGCTGTCAGCACTTATTTGTCATTACATGTGCATTAGTATATTTTAGGTGAAGTATATGTGATTTTAAAAATAGCCTTAAATTACAGTGATTTTCCCCTTAATGTTCAAATGCGTAAAACTTCATTATTTACCAAACCCAAATAGTTTCTTCATCAGTTTGGAGAATGCAAATATATGTGGCAGGTTCATGAGATTATATTATGCAAATGTTGTCATGGTTCCCTCGTTTGTTACAACAAGCATTTACTAAGCAGGTTCATTGATTTGGAGTTGACCCACGAGGATCATCAAGTCCAACCCTTAGCCCTGCACAGGACCATCCCCAAGGGTCACACCAGGTGCCTGAGAGTATCATCCAAATGCTTCTTGAACTCTGTCAGCCTTTTGGTGCTGTGACTCTTTCTCTGGGGAGCCTGTTCCAGTGCCTAAATAACCTCTGAGGTCTTTTCTAATATCTAACTAAACCTCCCCTGACACATCTTCAGGCCATTCCCATATCTTCAAAAAACACTCCTTGCAACTACATTTGTTGATTGTGTTGCATAGCAAGAGTATTTAAGTGTGTCCTAGTTAGAACAGCTGGGACCAGCTCATCTCTGTGTGGGTGTAACCCAAAACTGTGTATTCTATACCCTTCCATGCCATTTCCCAGAAACTGTTAACAATAGACCATTTACAGCAGCTGCCCAGAGCACACCTGACCCCTCAGGCTATAAGGTGGGTGTTAAGAGGCCTGTGAGATAGGAGGATGCTCCTGTCCTCACACCCACTGTGGAACTCCCCGCCCTGAGGGAGGCACTGGGCATTCCTGCCTGAACCTGAGGATATATAATCTTGGGGTCTTGGGACTTCTGGTACCACTCGTGGGATCCAGAGAAGGACTGTGACCACCACTCTCAACCAGACTGCAATCACAACTCTCGACCAGACTGCAACAGCACTCTCACCAACAGGTTTTCCCTCCTTTTACTTTCGACTCAGGGGGACCATGTGGGGCTTAGCACAGGAAGGGGGGCCCAATGAACACCATTCCGTTCGTGCCCCAGGTTGCTGGGTTATACATTTGGCTTTTGTGGGTTAAAACCAATTGTTTGTCTGTATAATCGTATTTATTGTATTATTTTTATTAAATTGTTATTCTGACTTACAATCTCTCTTTTGAGTTGGGTTCATTTCCCCTGCTGGTTTACCTTTAAACCAGTACAAAGTGAGAAGCAAGTTAAAATGACTTTTATTAGATAACTTTTCCCTTGTTTTGTAATGCTCTCGTTACCTTTATGGGTAGCGTAAGAACCAAAAAAGCCTTTCAGTCCTGTAAAAGTAAAAAAAAATTATAGATTATAATTTTTCCAACCTAGATGACTGCTGGTTTTCTTTTGTTACAGATTTTGCAGAAGGTTTGCACTTGATGTTTATTTTGCATATATATATAGATTTGAAGGCTAACATGGAAAACTCTTTTACAAATCAGCATTTGAATAATAGAATCATAAAATGACTTGAGTCGGAAGGGAGCTTGTAGATCATCTAGTTCCAACCTGCCTGTCCATGGGCAGGGACACCTTTCACTAGACCAGGTTGCTCAGAGCTCCTTCCAGTTTGGCCTTGAACATTTCCAGGGATGGCGCAGCCACAGCTTCTCTGGGCAACCGGTGCCAGGGCCTCACCACCCTCACAGTAAATAATTTTTTCCTAATATCTAATCTAAACCTGCCCTCTTTCAGTTTAAAGTCATCCCCCCTTGTCCTGTCACTACATGCTCTTGTAAAAAGTCCCTCTCCATCTTTCTCATGCGCTGCCGAACGGTTTGTCAGACAGTGGTTAGACAGTTCACCTGAACACCTACTTCAGGCCTTGCCTGTGGTGTGGGACACCTTGGGTGGTATGTTGGCAGTGACAGCCAGACTGGGTGGGATGGACAGTTATGCCACTGGATCTGCATCTCCCCGAACAAAGTAGGCCAAGTTCCCTGTCAGCACAGCTGTGATGACACCAGGGAGCTTTGTAGTACTTTATTGGCATCTCATAGGAAGTCTGTGTTCTTTGCAGCTTAAACAGTCTTATTACCTTTCACACAAATTTGAGAGAAGGTCTAGTGACTCTGCTTAATGTGGTCAAACAGCACTTGGCAAGCCTCATGCTTTCCACCTCTCATATGAAGTGTTAATTTATAACACTTCTAAGGCTGCTGAACACGAGTGTCCTTTAGACTGTTGGCGCATCAATATTTAATATGTCTGCTTAAATTAAACTCTAGTCAAACTACTGGATGTTCTCCTCACCTTTTTTTGCCCTTCAATCATTAATGGACATTTTCCACAAGCAAGTTAACAAAACACCTAAGATGACAATGGACTTTGCACATACTAGCTCAACCCTTTCGTTCCAGAGTCTCTCCTCCTACGCAGATTGTGTAAGGACTGCAAGTATACCAAAAGGATGCTCCCCAGTCTGGACCACAGGTTACAGGACAGTAGTTGATCGAATATTTAGAATTGGTTTATGTTTTGAGATTTTTCCTCTGCTGCAGAATCTGTACCTTCTTTTAAAAATAAACAAACAAAGCCCCTCTTTACCCAGGGTGATAGTTCCTTTTGATCAGATTTGGGGTGTTCAGCTGCATTCCTTGATAGGAAGGACCCCTTCCAAGATGGCTGTAAGAATACCCTCTGAATTTCCTCTCTGCACCTTCAGGAGCTGTTGCTGCTGCACTCTTTGCGAAGTAGAGAACATTCCTAGATAATCTGTATGGTGGTACAGCTGTGAGTGACCCAGAACTGCACATCCTGCAACCGTGGTGTACCAAAAATAAGGTAAATTTTTAACTAGGTGCTGCTCTCATCCCTGGTCATGCTACATGTGTACTTTTATCCTTTGGATTCTTAAACCCCAGAGGCTGGGGGAGGAAGGAACTGTTATAGGAACTGTTCAGTGTTTTACTTCGTTTTCTATTTTAAAGTGAGGACTTAAGAATTCTTCTGGTGATGTGTGGGACAAAAGCATAGTTATGAACAGTGCAGCTGTGGCACTGTTGCAATTTACTTCCCTTTGAAGGCCCTGTAGGAAGGTTTCTGAAGGGAAGAAATGAGAAGATTAATCAGTGATCTGAAATCTAAGCCAAATGGCAGTTGCCAAAATACTGTAGGCCAAGTGAACAGAAACCTAGAGTTGAACGGAGCTGTGTTGCTTGTTATGAAACCAGGGACAAAGGAGACATGGAGGAGGGACTCTCCTCCACTTTTTTGTTTCTGTGGCTCGTTTTCACAGTTCTGTCTCTTGCCAGCAAGGTTACTCTCTCAAAATTATGGTATGCATGTGACTGGCATATTCATATTAAAACCAGGTTTAATTAAAAGCAGAGGACTTGTCGTCAGGAGGACATGCAGAGAAGTTAGAGCAAAGCAATTAGAATCAATATGTATTCATTTAAAGTGCATTTTTATTCTCAAGTGTTTTTTTTTATTGAGGTCCAGAGCTGCCTGTAAAAACAAACTCGGTTTGGTTTGCATCTGACGGGGCCTGCTCCCTCGGCATAAAGATCCAGCATGTGTCAATGTACTCTGTCAGTGATGTACCTTAACTCTTCTGAACATTTCTGTACAGATAAACCATTGTGAACTTGTGAATGCACTAATATTTTTCAGATGCTCATAGCCAATTTTGCTAGAGTGAAATATTTAATTTTAGCCCACAACATTGGTTTTTAAGCTTCTGTATCAAGCACTGTAGTGGGATCTGGAGCTTTATATGCACTTGCATGCAAAAAGGTTTTGTATTGAAGTGTAGGAAACAGCATATCTTGGATGGGAACTTCAGAATTGTTGTTTCCCAGCCATCTCTTGTGTGGCTGTGGAAAGATTTCAGTTAGCCTTTCGATTTCAGCCTGTGTCCTGGAGCCCAAGGAGTGATCAAAGTCAGCAGAGGCTGTTTACTATCTGGGCAGCTGTCTTCAGTCATTTGTTTCAGCAACCCAGTGCATGTGTGTTCCCAAAATGCTGTGTTCTCCCAAAGAAATCTCTGCCAGCAGCAAGCTAGCCTAGCTTTTCCTAATATGTAAAGCGGTTATCTGTGGATGGAGTTTAAGCCCACTCACCTCTTGTAGTTGCCTAATGTATATGCAGAACAGTTCATTCCCTTTGCTTCGCAGTAACCTTACAGTTCTTGAAGAACGTTATCATGTTTCCCCTCTGCCTTCTCTCTAGGTTAAATGCCATTTATTTCAGTTCTGCTCCCTGGAACAGTTTTCTAGAGTTCTCAGAGTTCCTGTTCTCTTTTCTTTTCCCCCCCTTCAGCTGGCTGCCCTTTCTGGCATGAGATACGTAACACTGAACCTTTTGCCAGCTGAGATGTCTTACGAGTCTTGAGTTTGTGTCGTTCTTCCGTCAGTCCTTCCAGTAGCAAGTGTTAACTTTACTATTTACAGGAACACTGTGAGGTGTGGATCTAGACACTTTCAAAGATACTTCATGAACCTGTAAATATTGCATGGGGAAGTAAGTCTGGACTGCAGCTCTGAAAGGGGAGCTATGCCATACCTGTAGGAAATGCAGAGGCTGTGAACAGCTGAGATTGCATCAGCATTTCAGGTCTAGGAATATTTCAGCTCTCAGAATTTCACTCAGCTCTGGGAATGTTTATATTTCCACCTGCAGTGTGTTGGTACCTGAGCTCTAATTGGGTAGAGGTAGCAGCACAGCTGTCATGCTGAACACACCATGGGTAGAACCCTATGCTTGCTGAGTGTTCAGTCAGCCTCTGCATCAGACTTTGCAGTCTGGAGGGTGAAAGTTGCAGGTGGCTGAACTTGAGGGAGTTGACAACTACCTTGCCATATGTCTAACAGCGCTGTAGGTGCCACGCACACTGATGTGGGCAAGCGTTTGGATTAGACAGCCTCTAAAGGCAGCGGATGCGCTGCCCCACAGGTGAGTGGTCTCTCCCCCGAGCTGGCAGGCTGGGGTTGCAGTGCTGCACGTGGGCTGCATCGCTGTCTGCAGCGCAAGTTTGCGGCCTTTTGGCATCGGTGGCGGCGGGGAGGCAGCGCCCATCCCCGTCCTGCGGCGGCTCCGCTGCCTTTAGTCCCCGCGGCTGTGCCCGGGGCAGCCCGGTGCTGCGGTGCCTCCCGGGCCTCGGCGCGGGCGGGCGACTGCCCGGAGCAGGGGATGGCGGTAGGGGGTCACCGTGCCTGGGGACCAGGCCCTCGCCGAGGGTGGCGGTGGGGCCGGGCGGGGGCAGCCGGCGGGCGGGACACCGCGGGCAGCGGGGGCGGCTCCCGCCCGGGGCCGGGCTGGGCACGACCCTCGGCCGGGGACCCGCGTCCGCCTCGCCCCGGAGAGCGCGGGGCGGGGGCAGGCGGCGTGGCCGCGGTCTGCCCGCGGCGCAGGAGCGGGAGCGGGACGAAGGCATGGTCCGCGGCGGAGGTGAGTGCGAGCGGAGCGGCCGCCCCCGGAGGGGCGGGGGTCGGGGCCGCCCCCCCGCCCCGGGGCTGCGGGCGGAGGCGGTGGCGGCCCCCGGCGGCTCCTCCCCCGCCCGAGTTACAACCGGTTCGTGCCGGCCGAGGCTCGCCCGCCGCGCCGGGATGCGGGGCTGCCCCGGCTCCTGGGGGCGGCTCCTGCCCCACGGGCCGCCCGCCCGCAGGTAACGGGAACGCGGGGATCGGGTGGGAGGCAGCGAGGGGGCCGGGCCGCGGGGAAGGTCGGACGGAGGTCTGGGAGGGAGCTGCCCCGGGGCCGGGGCGGGCTGGTGTCTCCGGGTCTCCGCAGCTCCTGGATTCGGCAAAGGGGCAGGCGCGGGACGTGCCACCGTCCCTGGCGCCCGCTGGAGCGGCCGCATCCCCTGCGGTGCCCATCGACGTCCACCCCGCGGTGCCGGCCGCGGGCACCCCTCGGCGTTGGCTGTGGGGCCTCCCGGTGTTCCCTGTTGGCATCCAGCGGGCACTGGGCGCTGTGTGGCATCACCACCTGCCGCGGGCACATGGCAGCGGGCGCCTGTGGCCACCGGTGCGTGCCCATCCCGGGCACCCTTTGGCATCTGGGAAGCTGCGGCTGCCCGGGAGCGGGGCGGTGTGGCACGACCTGTCTCGCCCTGTGTGTGGCATCGGGGCGGCGAGGGCGACCTTCAGTCACCTCATGGTGCGCGTCACTGCGCGGATGAGCGATTGCCGTCGAAACTGGTCTGGAGGTAGAAGGCGTCAATGTGTAACGCAGTGCTCCGGAGCGGGGCTGTGGGCTGGCCCCCGAGGGCGTGGGGAGAGGCGAGGCGAGGCGAGCCGGGGTCTATAAGAGGCCGTCCGTCCCCACGGAGGACTTGGCCAAGGGGCACGGACCGGTTGAGGGAGCGGATGCCGACGGGAGCCCTCGCAGGTTGTGATGGGTAAGGCGATGCACACCGCGCTCTCGTTCTGCAGAGGACTTCTCCTCTGGTAAATCGTGGTGGCTGGTGGTTTATAGCAGCACCGTCTCTAGTCTGTCTGCATGGATGCGTGCTAGTGTCCGACAGGCAGGTATACTTGCGGGGGGATTTTCCGTCCCCTCTGGGGCAGTGAGGCTCTGGAAACAGGTAGGACTGGTTCTGCTGAGCTGACAGATATGTACAAAGTTGGCTGGTTTATGCGCTGCCTCATAGATGCTTCTTTATGTGAACTGATTTTGCACAATAGAGAAACATTATTACGTCGTTGGTAAGTTTTGTTCTGGTATTTTTTTTTGTTTTAAACTTCACGCTTCTTCCCTCATCAGGAAGAAATGGAAGAAAACATTGATGAGCCTCTTGCTTAACTTACAACAGTGCAAGTAGAGAAGCGTGAGAAATAGGTAGACTTGAATGCTGAGAACTTGAAGGGAAATATGTATATACTCAGTGTGAAAGAACTTAAATACTTGAACATGGGAAGCTACTGTAGTTAGAGCATCAAAGTCTGATACCGTCAAAGTTCAGATGCATCTTTTTCAGTGAATTTAATACAATGCTCATGCTATCACATCAGTATATGTGCAGGTGTTTGGATATGATGAGTGTGTTAAGAACAACCATAGTGCATTATGGCCACTCTTGTGCTTTAGGTGTTACTTGCAAGCTAAGGGTAGCAGAAACTTCAGATAATAATGACAAGAACTTGCCTGGAAAATAAATAGAAATTTACAAGAAATCTGATTCAGCTCACAAAGAGGGATGTTACCATTTTGGCTGGTACTGTCTTCATTTGTACCAGTGCCTTGCAAAACTGGACTAGCCAAGTGTTAATCATGCAGTGTTTCTGCTGACATTGGCTTTCTTTGCAGCCATGTGCTGCTCACAGAAAGCAGCACACTTACCCAGGCTCTGGTTGCACAAATAGCAAACTGGAAACAATCGTATTGCTACTGTCTTTCTCAAGATTCCCTTTGCCACAGATTAATACAAGTTTCTGTGCTGAGGGCTAATGTTTCAGTAGTACTCGTGTTCTTTTTTTGTTGCTCATCTGTCATCTTTAAGCCAAATTTTAAGATTTATAGAAAGAGAGCTCATTATTGTGATAATGCTGCTCAGAGAAAAGCAAACAGTTGCAGCCAGACACCTCTCTCTTTCCACATTAAAATTATTGTTCAGTTTGTTCTCTAGGGTTTCTTTTTGTTGTGGTTGGTAAAGGCTTTCATCAAGCAGCTCTCTTCCTCTGATTCTTATTCGCAGTGAGTACAACTCACTGAAAAGCTTTTTCTGACCAAACTTCAAGTTGCTGTTTAATTCTTTATGCTTCATGTCTCCATTTCAGTATTTTTAATGTAATGAGGTTTCCTGGAGTTTGAAACAATATCCCTAGGTTTTGTGAAAGGGAAGGTTTGTGAAATTGTTCCCACCTGAATCTTAAACCCATGGTTGTTTGTCTGTTTCCAGGATCACACAAGTCTTCCTAGCTGGCTCTGAGATAAAACAAAACTATTGAGCTCTCTCTTCTGTGTGGGCTTCTGCTTCTTTATTTTTGGTGGTCACATTTGTTTGCACAGTCTGTGTCCTTTCTTCCACACAGATAGAAAATAGTAAGAGGCTCTTTGGATCCCTCCCAAGTTGATGCACAGATTCAGTGCCCATGCAAGCGATGTTGGAAGTAGCAAAGGTTTAATTCCCTCTGTCAGTTCTTGTCCCTGCTACTAAGCTATTATAGTGTAACTTGTCTTTTTCAGGGAAGCATTGAACACCGTACCAGTAGAAAGTGGATTGATATTCACAGTCCCAGCAGCAGCTTGGTCGACTGGGACATCTTTAACTGTGTATTGTAGCAGAGGGCTCTGGGGAACAGGCTCCTCACACAGGTCTGGCACCTCTTGGGCTCTCTGCAGGAGGGGCTTTGTGCCTTCAGGGGAGTTAGAAAATACACCTCAGTTTAGGTAATAGGCACACAGCAGTGTGAGGAGCAACCTGCAAGAAAGGGAAGGGAAAGCCGGGTCACATCAGCCCTTAAAAACAGATTCTAGGAGTTTATAGGTCTGTTATCCCTTTGAGGATCATTTCGGGGGGGGAAATGATGGTGTTTTTTACTTTTTGCTTGACAATTGCAGAGGGTAAATGGTTTGAAGCATTTAAAAAATAGAGGTGATTTTGATACCTAAAATTTTGTTATTTAGCTAGAAGATGCAAAAGCGATCTGTGATGCAAAACAGGAGATGTCGGGATGTAGAAGGTCAGCTCTTTTGCTGCCATAAATTGTGAGCAGTTGGTTGAAGTCAATAATGCTGTGCAGCGTTGCGGCAGATGAGGAACAAATCCAGAGGTTTTTTAGTCTTTCTATTAGAAAAGACTGCATGACCTAAGTCTACAAGAACTTTTTTCCTCTCCTGCCCTGTCCTTGCTTTGTCTCCATCAAATGTTTAGAATAGCAGAACTGAACTCAAAAGTTGTCTTTGTGCCAAATTTTAGGGCATCAATATAGTGGAAATCAATACAACAGCCAAAATGTGTTTTTTTCCTAAAAGTTACTTTTTAAACAAATGAGTTGAGGTTATTTACTGTCTGCCTCCATTATTTACCTGAAAACTTCCTTGCTTTGTCTGAGTGCCTGTTGTTTAAGCAGTTACTTATTTCCACTATTTTTTACTCTAGGCAGAGACAAAACGAGACAAATGATAATTAATTAGAATCATAGAATCAGCCGGATTGGAAAGGACCTCTGAGATCAAGTCCAACCCTTCTTTTTTTTTTTTTTTTTTTTTTTTTTTTAAATCCAGTCCGGGTTTTCCCCCATTCTGTACTCCAGAAAAATCCAATCCGGGTTTTCCCCCATTCCGTACTCCGGACAAAATCCTGTCCGGGTTTTCCCCCATACCGTACCCTGGACAAAATCCAGTCCGAGTTTTCCCCCAAAGCGGCCCCGGGACTCCCCGACAGAGGCATCTCAAGGTGTGAACCCCCCAAGGTGACACCAGAACAGTGTTTTATTTATTGTAACAAACACGGAGGATCATGATGCAATGAATTATTTCCAAAAAATCAGCCATAACCCTTATAACTATACAAGCATGCAAGGAGTAAATGCAGTATAGTAGCGTGCATCAGATACTGGTGTCCATCTCAGATTGGTGTGAAGCAGCCACGTCACTGTATCAGTTTCAGAATGTAATGGGGATGCAGAAACATCTGTGATGGCTTTTAAGAGAGCCCTAGAGAAGTGTTCTACAAAGGGTAGATCAGTGAAGCAGTGAAGCACAAATTTATTGCTGTCATACCAGACTGCTACTCAGTCTACAGCTCAAAGATGTCAAGGGAGCTGGTTTTGTAAAGATAGTTCCACATAAGTGTTTCATTAGCAGTACATACCTCCTCAGCATGTTGGCTAAAGGACAAATTACACAGCAACAAGAAAGTCAAAACTTATTTGTCTTCTAAAAGATCAGTATCTATATCCTAAATAAAACAAGTCATCTTACCAAAGGGTAGCTGAAGATTAGAAATTTGGAAACTCCCTTCCATGGGTTCCTATGACCTGGGATGTTTATGTATTTTATCTAGGGATTATGTGTATCCAAAACACATGGAACTGCCCAGAGAGTAGGGAGCAGAACCTGGGACTTTCTCTTGCTCGGACATCACTAGGCAATAAATTGAAGGACTTCCACAAGCTCTCCATGAACTTCTCCTGAGACACCAGAATGCCCAGTGAGCACAGCTCCTTTTCTCAGAGCTTGGAATTAGCTGGAGGTTAAAAGACCTGCTACAGGTGAAGAACTGACTGTGATTCTTCTCAAAGACAAGGGGTAGTTATATTTCACACATCCTGGGGAAGTGCATGGAAAGATGCATAGGTCAGCTCTTGGTGACTGTATTCAAATAGCTTAAATATTTTGTGTAGAAATATGGGGATCCCCTTTTGTGCAAAGGTTAGTGTTATAAGAAAGTAACTATAAGCAGCTTTTTAATGCTTTGATACCTTATGGTATGGTATAACTTCTGTCTATCCCAGCTGTCACCCTTGCATCTCCTGGGATAAGGAACACTCACCAGATATTGGAGTGACTAAGTCAGGGCTTACATTTCAAACTGAAGCAAACAACTTTGTAATGTTTATAACTGGGAATACTGTCTCCTGAAGGACAGTCAGTCAGTATGTTAAAACTGTAAATCATTCCCAAAGGACCTAGAATGTCAAAATTTATTTCACATTAGTAGATAATGTTTTTGTTACTTTGGGGCTCAAGGCTGCTGTCAACTGTTAATTAATGTCAGGGGATCAGTAGTTGTCCACTGAAATAACTTGATTGCCTCTGAAGTTCCTCTGAACAGATATTAAAAAGAAGAAATCTAATGTCAGGCCACCATTTTTTCAGAGTTGTGTCCACTGTTCCAGTGATACTTTGGCTGAAAACTTGTTTTGTTGTTCTTTTTCTGCAGGTAGTTGCCACATGAAATTACATTTGTAGGAAGCTGAAGGACTTTTTTTGTCATCATCTGTAAGTACCTATCTTCAAAGTAACACTTAAGTGCATCTATAAACTAGAACTGGTCTTTTTCATGTCTCTACACAATTATTCCTCAGAATTTTATACTGTAGTGTTTTTGTA